CACCAGATGCTCATTTGCGGGCTCTTTCCCCACCAGATGAGAGTACCGGTTCCTTGGCGGGTATGTTGAGTGCATCAAGATCACCTCCTCCAAAGACAGGAATGATGTCTCCTCCATTGATGAGTCCTGGTTTACCACAAAGCCCCAGACCCATGGGTATGTCCTCGAGGCACAACTCATCTCACTCATCAATGGCTTCGCCTCCATTGTCTCCTCGAGGAATGGGCGCTTTCCCAGGTGCCATACCGTTATCACCACGAGCTCCACGACAGCCAATCCCTCTTCCTCCCGGTACTCCAATGTCAATTGCTTCCCCTCATGCACCCCGTGCGGAACCTTTGGTTCTCGTTTCCCCGCAACCACTGGTGATCACTAAAAGATCCGAGGAAACTCTTAACACTCTCAAATCTGAGGAAACTCTAGTCAATGAAAGTGTTCAAGGAAGGCGACCAAGTGACTCTCCGTCTTCCAGTCATTCTGGAAACGTGATTTATAAGGGACTTGTTACCGACGAATACCCAGACCTACTTCTTCCCCCAAATGCTTTACCTTCGATAGATGTGAAGGTGGCGTCGTCACGTTTGAAGCCTTCAAGAGCTAGTCTGATGTTTCCAGCTAATCTAGAGACTGATCCTGTTTTCACTCTTGCAGTATTCGCGCGATCAGATGGTAAAGAACTATGGAGAGTGGAGAAAGACTCGGCATCATTGGTGCATTTGGACCAGATCTTGAAACAGTGCCCTACATTTACAGCTAGGACGCCGGATAAATATCTCTTCAGTGGTCACTCTCCAGCTAAAATAGATGCAAGGCGTGCGGCACTCGATCATTATCTTGATGAACTCCTCAATACGGAGCTGGATACTAAATCTGCATTGGAGATCTGTCGATACTTGTCTTCAAATACAATGGAGCCACACGCCGATGACCTGACTCCAAGTAGTGATACGGGTTCCGAAAGTCCTGTGAAGACTGGGCCAGGTGGCAGACCTTTAAAGAATGGCTATTTAACCAAGAAAGGTAAAAACTTTGGAGGTTGGAAAGCACGATTCTTTATGTTGGACGGCCCAGTGTTCAAATATTATGAGTCGCCTGGCGGACCACATCTAGGAACCATAAAGCTTCAAGGTGCTCAGATTGGAAAACAATCCCAGCAGGTTGATGCCTCACCATCTTCCCGAGGAGAAGGTGATGATGTTGACAATCAATATCGACATGCATTTTTGATTTTGGAGCCGAAGAGAAAAGATTCTTCTAGCCTTGTGAGACATGTCTTGTGTGCTGAGAGCGATAAGGAACGCGATGAATGGGTCGAGGCTCTTCTTAGATACGTTGATCTCAAAGATGAGGATGAGCATCGTCGCCCAAGTCACACTCGCTCTGGCTCAGGCAACTCTCATCCACATGGAAGAAGAAAAGGAAGTGCTCAAGGGAAGCTGGGCGAGAACAGTGATCTGCGTGCTATTGGCTATGATATGACAAAGCAAGGCGCTGCACCACATGGCTCGAAATTGAAGAACTCGGACACGCCCTCGCCTCCAAGTCATGGTCACGAAAGAGATCCCATGACATTCCCACACTCTCAATCCATGAAGTCGATTTCTGGTCCAAAGAACGCCCACCCAATTCAGGATGCTGGTTCATGGGGAAACAAATCGGGGACACCGCTCCCAGATGAAAAAATCAAACAGAGGAAACGTAGCTTTTTTGGATTTGGCTCAAAACCAAGACCATCGGTAGATTTACCAGACTTGTCAATCAACATGTCAAATCATAATTTGTCCCAGATGGCCTACGATCAGCATGGTCCGATTAGACCAGTTTTTGGAACTCCATTAACTGAAGCCGTGAGGTACAATCATCCAGCTGATGTTCAAGTTGAGCTTCCAGCAGTCATTTATCGATGCATTGAATACTTAGATGCGAAGAATGCTGCAGGAGAAGAAGGAATTTTCAGATTGAGCGGATCCAACGTTGTCATCAGACAGCTTCGGGAACGCTTTAATGTCGAGGGAGACGTGAACCTAGTCACCGACGATCAGTACTATGACATACATGCTGTAGCCTCTCTGTTGAAGCTATACTTGAGAGAGTTGCCAACCACTATATTAACCCGTGAACTTCACCTCGAATTTATTGCAGTTACCGAGCTTCACGACGTAAATGAGAAGATCAGCGCTCTCAATGGTTTGGTCCACAGGCTACCACGAGCAAACAACATTCTGCTCAGATATCTGGCTGGTTTCCTTATCAATATCATTAATCATTCAGATGTAAACAAGATGACTGTTCGAAATGTTGGGATTGTATTCTCACCAACTCTCAACATTCCAGCTCCTGTTTTTGCCCTTTTCTTGCAACAATATGATGGCATCTTCGAAAATGAGCCCAACGACCAGGAACGTCGTCCTGTGGAGGTTACGGTTACCGCTCCCGCTCTGTCTCCTGAAGATATCCGCTCTCCTCGACGCCAGAAATTTCAGCAGGATCTCCCAACACCATCCTTCAACCAGCAATCTTTTGGTCAGCAAGGCCCAGGATTTGCTGGGTTTAACGCAATGGCTGGGCCTGAGTATGGTAGTCGAGGCAATACACTAGGAGCTTCTTCCCATGACCAGCAATACGGGGCCTCTAAATCGAAGAGGAGAGAAAGTAGCATGTTCAATATGGGCATGGGGTTGGGACAGAAGAAATCTACCAACAGATTGAAAGAGAATGATCCTCGTAAGGAATTATTTTAGTTTCTACCGATAACGTATATTGACGAAATGGTTCTAGGTTTAGTCGACGAAGAATCATTCTTCGATTAGACAGATATCAATGATTGAATCAACGAACCATACACGACTTCGGACAGGTGCCCTAGACGTATCTATAATCACCAACAAGAGCATACATAAAACACGACTGTAATCATAATAACGACGACATTTATTTCGTCTTCAAATTTTTCAGGTGCAGCATTAGCAAGCAAATTTTCAATACCCTTTTGACTTTTTGTATATTACCTTGCATCCATGCGATCGGCCACAAGGAAACGAACAATGCCATCTTCTACATACCATTATCAATTCATAACCACATGAGCATCGAATCAATTTGTTTAGCATATCAGAGGAAGGAGAGGAGGTTATACCCATACTTTTTTTCTATATTACATTTTGCATTGGACCCATTTATTGGTCTGGTTTCAATGCCAACATTTTTTTTTTACTTTTGAATGTTTTTCTTTTGAAGCATGATCAAGATATGTTATTGGATCGGATCGACTTTTAGCGTGCGAGGGTTTGACTTTTGTGAAAATTGGGAATTGGGAGTTGACAGTGACTTTAGACGAGATAGTTTGAAGGAAGGATAGGGAAGGGGGTCAAAAGATTTATGATGGGAGTTACGTGGGGTCGATGAATGGATGAATATGTATTATTGGAGGATGGTATGACGGTAGACTGGATACCTAAGAGGTCTCGGGGAGGACTTTCAGGACAGTCGGATGGGGTGGAATGGGAGGGGAAACAATAGATCGACCGGTGTAGCCTGGTGAACTTTAGGGGTGGAGGGGGAAGATAATGGCTGGACTAGTAAAGTACCAGGCTTCTCGTATGATATTACATCCAACTTGAGTAGGAGATGACGTATATAATGATACCAAATTTCATATCTACATGAAGCTTTTGATGTGATCATAGTGAAATTAGAGCTTATGTTAGGCTATTCTTTTCGGGGATGTGGATGGGAGAAAGGGGCGGGATGAATATTATGTATATCTTTACAGGAAAAATAAGGAAATGTATTAGTAGAGAGAGACCTAAGGGTATCAGAAGGAGATTTTTGAATTGCTGGGAGGAGGTAAGAGGTAGTATGTAGGTAGTTATTGGATATTGGGAACGCGCGGCTTGTATACGTCGTTCGTTTAGGTTGGCTGCTGAGTTTGTGCAAGTTGGGACGGATGGGGTGTAGGTAATCATACTTACTATGTGAGGATATGGTTGGATTTGTGAGTGCGGGTTTGGAAGTGGAAACGGAAGTGGGTTGGTGGGTTTGCGTATGGGTATGTGGTGGATGGGAAGGAGAGGAGAGAGGCAGAGGGGTGGGGTTTGGTTTGAATGGGGGATGGTGGAAGGATAGAGGGATCGAGGAATAGAGATGGGATGGGATGGGATGGAATGGTTTGGCATGGTTTGGTGTGTGAGGTTATGGGAGGGAGATAAAATGTAGGGGATCGCTCGATGTTAAGAAACTCTTGGATTAGAACTTGAAGGAAGGGATTTGTGGCTGGAGATTTGAAATGAGATAAGATGGAATGAGATGCTATGAGATGGGATGAGATTTGAGATTTGGGAGTACGAAGGATCGTGCCGGATTTGATTAGATGGAGTGAGATGTTGATGAATCCAACCACTCTTTTTTTTCTTCGTAATCTGAATATCCCATATACGAATAATAAGATTATTTGAGCATGGGAATATTGCATCAATTATTTCAACAAACACATATGCATAATAGGTGTTTATATATAAATTCATAAATCTCTTCTTTATCTCCTGTATCAATCATTAAACTGCGGTATAGTGAATCGAATCAATAAACAAACAATCAAACACACGCTGAATGGTATAAACCCCAGTATCAAATAACTCCCTTTCATCCATCCATCCATCCTTCCAGAATGCAATGTCCATATGCAATGCGATACTATGCTAAGCTTCTTTCACTCGTCTATTTTCTTCTCTATCCCATGCTGAAATGAACATCCAACATCTCCAAAATCTTCATATGGGTATATCATCATCGACAGAAAACTGTCCATCATAACCTATGCATGCTTAAAGTGATAACATCCGCCTGCCCCGAAAGAAAAAAACCATTCACGCCTAATAAATATACCAGTCGGAGAATCATACATCTAATTCATACTGTACACTTCTCTCTTCGCACTCATCCACTCGGAACCCGAGAGAAAGGGAACCAAACCCCCTCCCCTGGGAGAAAAATCATCTCGTTCACATAACAAGATAACCCAATCCGAGACCCAAAACCATAACGCCAAGATCAAGCATTCCGTATTCGTGCTTGGGTTTCTTGAGTGAGTTTGCGTCCGAGGTGGTGGTTACCTTGGCGAGGGTGGAAGAACCGGTTGCGCTTCCTGATACGGCGGCCGCGGTGGCTTTTTCGCCGGCGGAGAGAGTCGCGGTGCCGGTGGCGCTTCCGACGGCGATGCCGCTTGAAGTGCCGGTTACGGTGCTGAGGGTGGAGCTGCCGCTTGAGGATTTGGTGGATGATGAGCTGCCAGATGAAGCGGAAGATGAGGATGAAGATCCCTTAGAAGCTGATCCGTCTGCATTGCAGCCGCCAGTGGCTGTGATAGATGTGTAGTCACCGGTCAAATCGCCGTAAGTGTATTCGGTCGCGCATCCATAGTCTTGAATCGTGACGTTCTTGACGTACATGGTGAAAGGACCTTTTGTGAGATCGACGGCTCCGCCGGCCCAGGAACAGGTTCCTGCGGTGGCGGGATCGGTTACGGCGGCTTCGCTGGCACAGCCGATCCAGCTTCCCATCTTGACTAACATAGGAGTTTGGGGGTAGTTCTTTCCGCCGACGGTTTGTGTGTCGTCGTAGAGGAGCGTGCGCACGGCGACACCGTCGATGTACCAGATGGTGGACTTGGCGGTCCAGTCAATGGTGTAGTTGTGGAAGGTGTCGATGGGAGTAGCGACTGCTGGGTATTGGGCACGGTCGTAGGTCGTTGTGTTTCCCTTTCCAAAAAAGTTGTTCTCGGCTGCGGCGTTGTTGGATCCGAGCCATTCCCAATCGATTTCGTCGAGATCGTCGGATTCGAGAATAAAGCTACTGACGATACCAGTTCCGGCTGATGCTCTCACCCATGTTTCGATGCGGCCAAACATGATGTATCCGATATTTTTGATGGTGGGTGCATTGGTTGCGGTGCTGATGACGAATTGCGCACCGAGGGTGCCGTCATATGTCATGGTGGTTCCATCTTCGACTTCCCAATAGCTACTCTCTCCAGCGGTAAAGTCGGTCACTTGAAGGCCTCCAATGGCTGGGTCTGCAGGACAGGCTGTATATTTGTTAGTTTTATGTTGCAAGTCATGCGTCGTCATCCAACTTACACTTTTCTGTTGGGTTGCAATCAGTGAATGTTTGTGCACTGGCCAGTCCTGAAAGGAGAGCAACAGCAGATGCTGATATTGTTGAGGAACGCATTTTGAGATGTGCGATATGTGTGTGTGATATGTGAGGAGATAAGCTGATTAGAGTACAAAAGTACAAGTACCGGACTTCAAGTACGAAACGATGCAAAAACGCGAAGCGAATGTGAGGGAGTCGAGATATATGAAAGAGAATGTCCAAACGAAAGATGAACCGTTCGATATGAAGAACCACTTTTCAGAAAGATGGATGATGAAATATAGAAAATCAGATCAATGCCAAGATGTGGAGAGGAATTTCCAGAAAAATCTTTGGGAGGAGGGGGATGTGAGGTCAATAAGTATTCACAAGATAATATGGGGACGAGGTACCAGGTGGAAAGGAAACACAAACCAATCTTGGGGATTTGATCTATTTCAATAATTTCTTTTTCTGCATTTCACACTTCTTCCTCCCGCACGCTCGTGTGGGCTGGTCATGGTCAATGGTCCATGGTGTCAAACTCGAATTCCGAACACAGCCTTGTCGCTGTAAGCAAACGAGGGGCGGGGCGTGGTCAAACAAACCTTGTATCAGAACTTCCTTCCTGACTCTGATTGGTTAAGCGAAGGTTTTCAGCATTGTCATGAAAGGAGGCAGGGGAAGCGTTAGGGAGGCTAATGCCATGTCATTCCAAACTAAATCACACAGGGCAAGAAATAACATTATCGTATACGTCTTCTTGGAAGAGACACCAAATCCATTTTAAGATATATCGTAAAGTGCTAAATTGAATTCAAGGGAGGGTGGATTACTTATTGTGGAGTAGGTGGTGATTTATCTGTTGATTATGATGCAGGTACGAAGTCCTCCTCACAATATCAAATGAAAACACTTGCGATACCTAGGAATACATGATCGACCGTATCAATGATGGGGCGACGGATGAGCACGTACGTTATATTATTCCCCTTCGTGTTTTGCTGCTCCAGAAAAAAGTGGCTCTTCTTTCTCTCTCTTCAGAATTACGATGGTGTTTCCATATGGGATCCATAGATTTATTGACTTTGTTTCTCGTGTCACGGGCAGTTGAATAATGAACTAAAAGTCAAGGTAGAGAGTAGTACCGGTCGGTATGCATATTCCATCCCATTTCCAAAGCATACGAAATAATATTTGGTTTGATCCTGTGGGAAGATTAGATGACTAAAGACACTTCTAGCTATGTGTTTTAGCTTGGCTTGTTGGATTCTTGTAAATTTTCAGCCATTCAGCATTCGTTATGCTTTCTGGTGGCCGTCTAGTGAAACAGAAGGTCGCTTTTATGGTTTCCAGCAAAATGCCACGACTTCTTGGAAGTTGGGCTGCAGATTTTGATGTGATCCACTGGACCCTAGAGCCAAGGTAATTCCTAGTGGAGATCTAAGGAAGTACGATGTAGTAAGCATCTGTAGGGAAGGATCTCAGGAACACATGGGATTTAATTGGTCCGGCATGTCCAGGTTGACTTAGTTCGTATTACTGTCTACCTAGGTATTGGTAGTCAAAGGCTTAACGACGGCGGCTGAGTACATCATACGGTACTGAAAAGAAGCTAGAAAGGGGAAAGAAAAAATTAAATTATTTTTGGAATCTGAAGAATTGGTCCTGGCTGTGCCACCTCTTTTTTACTGAGCAAGATAGAGAGAGAGGAAGAGATAAACCGAAAATTGGGTCAACAATGTCTTGGTCACTGTTCACTGCCGTACTTGCCGTAATTTGGATGCCTTTACGATACGAATTATCATCGGTACCGACAATTAGATTGAAAGACAATGACTATCTACAGGCCATTCTTCCGTCCTACCGTTCTACGGCCAATACAATATGTTTGTATACCACATTCATATATATCATATGCACGATAGAGCGGTGTTACGCTTCTTGCTGTATCTATGACTCCATTTCTCAATGGCTTTCGTGTTATGAGACGTAAGCTGCTGACGATACTCACATAAATTGTACTAAACTTTAAAAATTTGGTTGTCAGCCAAATTTTTCTTCTGCTATTCCCACTGATCGCTGTTGATCTACGGCTCATCATCATGATTGTAGTGGACTATTGTATCATTCTCTTTCAACAGCGAGAGCAATATTCCAAGGTACACATGTTGGTTGAAGTGCCCACGGTTACCTGTTGCTCTTCATGGTTCGGTCCTGGCAGGCCAACCATCACATCCCTTTTTTTTCTCTAGCCAGCAGCCAATATTCAATCGCAAAAATGAGAAGTATCCGCTCTCGTATCATTTTTGTTCTCACCATCTTCATCATCACACATGACCTCGCTAACAGTACCAATTAGTCCTCGGTATGTCTCGGGGGCTTTTCAAAATCCGTCAACAATACGATATCACGAGGTGGAAACCTGATAAGGGTGGACCTTACTGAGCCGCTCCATAAAGTACAGTCTTTATCTTTTCAGATTCAGGGTGACAAGTTACAACTGTGCGCATAAAGGTTTCACTCCGGTAACAAGATTCGGCCTGAGCTCTTTTTGAGTTCCCCAAGTCTCGTCCGAAAAATGACCGTGAACACCCTGAATTTTACTCTCGAGCATTGGAGTTTCTGCTGCTGAAAATTAAGCTTATCCAATATCTGATGATCAGGAATGATTTTCTTTTTCTTTTTCTTCTTGGCAAGGGGACATTTGACGGGAGCGTTTGAAATACGAGTTTGAGAAATTGTTTATATACCTCACTTGAATCGCATCTGTTGTTTACTGGACTTTCGATTGAAATGAAGGGGCGGCGCGAAAGAAGCGAGAAGAAGCTTAGGGACCTCACTTAGGAAGGCTTGATGGTTCTCAAGGCTGTCTTGGCATGCCATACATTATTCACGCTTGTTTGACATCTCACTTGCTTACCTCTCTTACAGCTCCTCTATTCTGTATGTCTATGATTTCAGCGTTTAATCCTGCATTTGAAACTACATTGGACATCCTGTATCTACAAATGAATTCTCACTAAAACCGCAAGTGCGAACTGATTTTCTAGCAATTGGTTTTGTCGAGAGATGGAATATCAATGTTCAAATGTCAAAGCATCTTATCAACCGCCATTTTCCGAGTCATGATACCCTCCAGTCAGGAACCATGGCGGTGATGAATGGTTAAATCTTAACAAATACGAGTAATAAAATAAAGGGCTATTCTCCCACGGAAGACTCACAAAGTTATGACAAGGTCCCGAAACTATTATTGACTGAGCACTCTATACCAAACCAGCAAAAGTTTGTTGTACTCGGGGCTGAAGGGTTCTTACTCCTTAATCTTGTAATCCAGATCCATCACTCAATTGCATCGCCAATATATATGGTTTATGTTATGGATGTGTTCAATGACGCGACCAATAAGTTTGTGATTTCTTTTTCCCCTCGTCCAAATTGTGATTAATCTCATGAGGTTCTACAAGGTCAACTCTCTTAGTAATCCCATAACCATTGAGAGTAAGATTTACACCAGATATCTCCGGTGCTTTGGATCTCATTCCACAAAGCCAGGAAGGAAGGATACTGTCAATGTTTGATTCGCCTGCAAGGAATCGGTAGAGTCTGGAATCTATTCATGAACAAAAAAGTCATTGATATGAGATGAAGCTCCTGATTAATACCAACGCAAAACCCCCATTCTTTCGCAGAGGTATCCATCACAAACCATAAAAACCTCACAAACCGAGTATATTCCTCTCAGGCTTGATCACCTAATAATTCTCATCTCATAGTCATGAAAATTTTCCCATGACACACGCAAGTAGAATTTATAATATATCAGATTTTTATCTTATCACAATAGAATCACAACAACGATGAGTATGCCTAGGTATACCCCATATATCTCAATTAGCTACCGTGCCAAATTAGCTGTGTTCGAAAGGAAGTACAAAGGCGCTATTGTGGAATGAGTATATGTTACGTTTAAGATGGGGTTCACTCCGTGAAGAGGATTGTTTCAAATAGAATATTGAATGACATTATGCTGGTGATTCGTGTGGCAGGTGAATACTGGTACTTGTGCGAGTTGTTTGAGAAATACCTGAGCATTTGGATCTAGTAATTCAACTTCCTGTTTAAATGTTAAGCTATTCGTCTTATAACACTTGTGAAGTCTTCAATTGCTTTTCACACCTCCGATGATTAGCTCCCATTTTCCTCCTCGATCTCGAAACTTCAATCCAATGATTACCCGTCACTATAACACAATCCTATAGTAGGTAGTTTATGTTACGCATGAAAGCAAATCGTATTGTTTATATCTTGTGTGCATTCCATAGGTATACATAGGCAGAGCCTCTACAAAACAGCAGACCACTCAACCCTTAAAGCCTCACCATTAATCCTCTCTCGCACTAACTTCATCAAAAGCAGCTTCCGCCTCTTCCCTTAGCCTCACTCCCTGGTCTCCCGCCACCAACCCCAACGCTCTATCCTTAGAAGGCCTTTCCCTTTCCAAACTGTTATTCTGGTTACGCCTGAACTCTCCAGATTGACTTCTTGGTAACTTCCCTCTTCCCTGTCCTTTTCTCCTCATCCTAGCCACATCTTCTAAGCTATTTTTCCACGAGTCGTTACCGTCGCCATCACCGTCACCAAATCCGAGCCCTCTTTCAAAATTTCTTTCTCTGGCCTCCTCTTTGGTGATCTGAGTCATCTGCAACCTCCTAAGATCCCCTCTTCTTTTCTGAGCCGTCTGTCTTGCAACATGTGCCAATGTATTCACACCAAGTCCATCCAAGGCACTAATATCCATAAGTAATTTTCGAACCTTGTAACCTGTAATTTCTTCAATGAACTTATCGACTCCCTCTTCACAAGCTGCTGCAGTAGCGACCCTCAGTCCCTTGAATAATTTCTTTGTATCTTTTTCCTGCTTGGTATGTTTTTCTAATGAGGAGAGTTGATTTTGTAAATCTCCTACAGATTCAGACACTGATAACTTGGGACTGATTTCTAACAATACAGGAATGTCAGGCAACCTTGCATAAGAAAGTACTTGACCTTGTACGTAGCCAGGCCTTGTTGATTGACTTGACTGACCAGCT